AAGTCATACAATCAACCAGACATGCTCAGATTACGGATGATCTCACAGCTATACATGTTACGTATACAAGGACCCACTACACCCGCTTCTATACCGATATTGATGAGGATGATTGTACATAGTAAATGAATGTAGTGAAATTGGGATGATATAGTGGATGTTGCAACATATATCGCCATACCGGCCTGCTGTAGGTTAGATCTACGGAATACTTTTTGAAGGTTAGCAGGCACTTTTTTTTTTACTAGAGCTTTTGGATGGTGATATAGCTAACTAATTAACCGTACTTTGTAAAATAAGTCCTCTTTTGATTATAATATAAGTTTGATGGTTCTTTCAACTCTTTATATTATTAATTTAATTTTCAGGATATATTTTGGTATTTCTAAGTATAAATTTTAAATCTTAAAATGATTCAAAAATAATAATATAATAGAATAAAAAGAAAAGTATGAAAGAAGAAAGAAGGAAAAAAAATTATAAATAATTATAATTTTTAATTACATTAAGGGGGAACGTCACAACTGCCATCTGGTAAGAGACAAGGTGAAAGCAGGTGAAATAAAAATGACATACATTGCCTCACAGAATCAGGTTGCAAATTTGCTGACTAAAGCTTTAGGTAGAACACATTTTAAACACTTGTTGTATGAGATGAGAGTGTTGAACATTTACTCCTCATCTTGAGGGGGAGTGTTGAGCTCAATATTAGCCAAGGTTATTTATGTCATTATGTAAATATTCCATCATAGAGTAGGCGTGACTTTGTTAGCTGAACTTGTATATAAGAGGGAGCTGTAATCATTTGGCGTCTATGAAATTCATTTCAACCATTTCTCCCGCCAACTCTCCTCCTCACATTTGACGTCCCTTTGCAACTCTTCAAAAAAAATATTTTTTATTACGACATTGACTTGTCAAAATATAAATACACCCTATACAAAGGTGTGGTTTGTAAGTTTCTTTAATAAAGAACCTTAAATTTATTGGGATATTGACTGGACTCAAGAGGTAGTTGTTAAGGGTAGAATCCTTCACAAAATTATACTACCTTCGTCTCGTAAAAATAAATTTTGTTTCTATGTTCATTCAGATTAAAAAATATAAAGTAAAGCTAGAAATATAATTTTTTCTTACATTTTTTCTAATATACCCTTACATTAAATAATTCTTTATATATGATTAATTTATATTTAATGATAACAAAGTACATTAATAGGGACATACTATAAAAAAAAATATGTACTTTTCAAAAAGGAATGTGACCTATAATTTGGGACAAACAAAAAAATTAAAAAAATCAAACATATCTTTATGGAATGAAGACAGTAACTTGTTTATATAAATCTATAAGATTGATGAATAAGAAGATAAAGTGTATCTAAACTTAAGTCTAATTCAAATCGGCGATCCTCGTTGTTCATTCTCCTAGCATTATAAATAAGGCCATACAAACCCATTTTCTAAGAAGACGTTGCTCTTTACCTTGGGTAGCGGCGGTGGTGGATGTGGAAGGTGGCTGCTTTCACTTAGTTTGGTTTGGGTTGGTGAAAGAAGAT